AGTGAAAGAACCACAATTCGTTCACAGTCTCGGTGAGATTCGACTCGTATAACGTTTCAGAAAATACCACACCAATCATGAGAGAGCATCAATCTTCACATCTGCTTTCTAGTCTCATTACTTAATGTATGTGTGAATTGCCCGCGTCAGATGCAACGGTTTCAAATTGCTTCTCACCACTAATTTCATTGCTGTCCAATTGAGTGTAATAATCGCTTTTCTTGGGTTTCAATTTTCAGAGTTAAAAAGCATTGAAATTTCAGAAAATTCCTGGTCCATTATTGGTACCGATGAACGAAGAGTTGTCGTGTGAGCAGAGTGGCATTTATAAGTTATGGATTAGCAACGAGCATGCTTGGATACATTCATTGAGAGTAAAATACAAAATTCTACTGGAGTAATCTCTAAAATTCTCATTCTCTATATCGTAATAATGTTGCCGTCTTTATCTATTTTGAGAATGCGTATAATTATAATATTATGAATAATATATATTAATATGTATTAATTTATCACAATTGTACGTGTTGTGAAGTTATTGATGTGCCAGTGACTGCAGCAATTATACATCAATGCTGACTGACATTTGGAATGATTCAGTCGACTGCTCACTTCATCTGTTCATTCAGTCGAGAATTGGAATTAATTTGGACATAAGCTGACTTACGAATCATTCTGAAACATCTGCGTTCTCTTTCCTCCTCCCCCTCATAGATGAATTCATCTCTTTCCATTTTGCTGCTCTCGTGCTCATCGAGTCAATTCTACTGCGTTCTCTTTCCTCCTCCCCCTCATAGATGAATTCATCTCTTTCCATTTTGCTGCTCTCGTGCTCATCGAGTCAATTCTAGAAGTTCAACTCGATTTTCCATGTTCCCACTTCTAAGCTGCAATAATACCATTCATGCACATCGTACTCGGCTAAGTTGAAATTATTTCAATTCTTTCGACTACCAGGATGGCCAAATCAACTCCTAAAGATCAACCAACTTTATATGATCATGTAAGATGTAGCTGCGGTGTAAGCAATGATTTGACATTAATAGTAAGTTATATGTAGATTCAGTTATAAATTCTGACACGTTCATGTATGATACTGAATTCATTTCGTTCGATTGGATCATTGTTGTACTTGACGCGATTATACTTGCTCACATTTACGCATGACCATCGCATTGATCCGTGTTGATGATAATCGAGATTCGATTGCAAGTTGCATTTATCGTGTTCATATTGCTCACTTGTTTGATGTATGTAATTATTGCTTATGCTACTTCATATTCAAATCGGTCCACATTCGATGCTTTTCCAGTCACTGATTTGCTCGGGAATTTGATAGGTATTCTCAGCTGAAGAATCCAGCGCACAATAAACATTTTCAAGGTTTCCAACACTCCATCTTGAATTCCAAAATGCCGTGTATCTTCTTTCACGTGCAAACATCGACAACTCGTAAACGTCGCACGAGTGGTAGCTGCAATACGATTGCATCTGAATGCATCAAACAAATCTGAATCTGACTATGAGTGTAATCCTAAACGTAAGTCTGAGAGTAAACTTTAGCCCAAACTTGAACTCGTTCCGATTAGATGAGACTGGAATGCGTCTGTGTACATCGCTCGCTACACTCGTACGAGTTTACCAGATTATCCCACATAATTCAACTGAATTAAGTGCTGAAATTTGCTAGAATAATTTCTCTGATAGTGAATTACATTTGCTTTGCAATTGCTCATCAAGCAAAAGAACAACTTCGAGATGCACGTTCTTGCAGTTAATAAGGCTACCGAGTTTTGATGTTTTTGTGTCGAATCAAAGAAGTATTAAATTGTTGAATAGTGTGTTGATTGTGTGACATTATATTCGATAGATTTCATAAATTCATTTGATAATGCTGAATTAATGCCGTCCCGAATGACTTGAATGACCACGCTGTGCACCGAAAATACAAAAAAACATCCTTTACGAACTGAATATCGCTTGCAAAATGCACGTATTATCATTCAGTAGATCAATTCACAATAACAATATGTAGATACATACAACTACGAGATATGATATCACCAGATATGTTCACAACAATCTTAGAATGATACCTTAAAGAAATCAGTTTGATGAATTGACATCGATAATGAACAACTGACCCATTTAATATTATTTGCAGATGATTTGGATCATTCGAAGAAAATCCTTCAAACAATTTTTAATGCCTCGTGAATTTTGTCATCATTTGATAGGAGGCGGTCGCTTCAAGCTTGAAATGGTGATCCGCCTTCAGATGAGCTCTGCGGCCAGTTGAATTCGATTTTATAGAATTAATTTGATGCGTAGTATCGGCTGCAGTTGGTTCGAATACGGGAAAGATATTATGTCATTTTGTTGTAAATTCTCGATGGATTTTAGTAATTGTCAATAAGCGGACAGTACGACTTTAGCTGTGCAACTCTTTTGCCAGTTCAAGAGTGAAATCTCGTTGTGCTTTTAGTCGCTTTTAAGAGTGCAGCATATTTTCGTTCCGCTTCAATTGAATCAGCCTTTCCAATTAAGAGTGTCACTTTGCTGGAACATCAGCTTTCTTTATTGATGCAGTGAATCTTCATGTATGCTCACATGCTCCTGTGAAAACTTCTATAATGCTATTATCACACTGCATTCATGGACTCAGCATAGTGGAGAATGTCAATTGGAAAACCTCGAAAAGAATTAGCCGTACACCTGGGTGTATTTCGCTCTCATCCGCCCGAATGCGGCTTGCATTCAGATTCAGACTCGATTGTAGGCAGTTAGACTTGGATTCGGTTTGCTCTTTCAAGGGGCACAAACACATTTGTTTGTGCTGCTTCAATACCCTACGACTTTTACAGACTGCCTAGGGAAACGTATTTTTTTTGTAAGCTTATTGGATGAGCTTTACTCTTTCTGAAATCATATCACAGTTCCTTTTTGCAGTCATTTCTCTCATTGCAGGTCAGATGCTCCGCTTGGCTGATCTCATGAAAGGCAACTGGCTCAAGAAAATTAATGAATGTAATTCTTCGCGCATATCATTCCACTTCGTTGCTTTCATCAGTTTACTGCATATCAGTTGAGTGCTCGTGATCACTTGAAATTCACATTCAAAGTAACATCCATTTGGTTTTCAAAAAAATTCCCAAATTGAATTTATTGAAGCATTAGGCGATATTTGATATGATAACGCCCTGACAATCTCACTTCTACATTCAGTTGATTAATGCGGCATTGTCGTTGATACTTCTTCTAACGATAAGTGAATTTTGATCTATCATAGAGAAAATCAATCCACTTTCGGCTACCACTTTGCCATCATTCATCAACAGCATGCAATTTCATCATCTCATTATTCGACAACAATGAACCTGATGAGTTTGTGGCCTCGATTCATGCAAGCAAAAACTAAAGCTCATTTCATATAGTGGGATAGTTCGAAAGGCTAAATGGAGAAGCATTTCGAATAGTTTATGTTTATGGATGAGATTAACGCAGTCGAATGAACATCATCAGAATGTCTCAGTTACATTTGAATTAAAATTTCAAACTCTTCGATTGCATTCTTATTCTTTTTGCAAAATGCCTTGTCTTCTAACTTTATAACTAGAATTACACCCCCAGCGCTTAGTAACTTGATGAATAAGAACGTTTCTTTGCTCCAAAAAAANTTTTTGTTAAAGTGCCGAAGGATAGTCACTCGAAGGAAATGAATGCAATTCATCTCCATCGAGTGACTATTATCCGGAAATAAATGCGCTAAGAAATTGAAAATGCACCTATAAAAGCAATTCTCCCATCGTCACGAGATGTGCATCCTCGAGCTACAGCCTTACAAATAGTTAGTCACAAACTGCAGTGCTCTTATGGATAAGCTCTGAGTGTGCACATTCTTAACGCTATGATTGGTTCCTCTTTTGATCAGTATTATAGTTCCAATACCAATGAAACCCAATGATTTTTTGTTGGTGTTTAATGGTTTTGCAAAGAATTACTTCGTTGATAATCTGGCCTGGTATATACGCACTCTCAAACAACTCCAGTATGTTTATATATTCGTAAACAACCAACGTTTGATTACTTTTGTTGGATGTTTTTTGGTGCATTACTTATAAACTCATCGAGGTTCGCTTGTGACTGATGTTAATCAAGGAATTAGTATTCCATAAGCCCAATGAATCCATGTTCGTCGTTCTCCTCAGCTGCACTTAGGATCGGCCAGGCACACTCGCAGACAACTCCATGAACACAACCAACTCAACGAAATGTTTCTTGCGTCATCTAATTTGCACTCCTCTTGTATATCCTCTCACTGAACACAGCAGCCGAAGACTCAAACTTTAAATAAACAAATCTTTTCAGTCATATTACTTAATATTTTTTCCCTGTCTAACCCTGAAAAAAAGTACATGTATTTTTGGGTGTTTCACCCGCCTAGTTCTCACATGNAGCATCATAACCCAATCTTGCAATCCACAAAACTGATCTGAACTATCCAAAAATCATCTCTCTTGCTCATTCAGTGATTGATGCTAGTTAGTTTGTTGGACTGAGACTGTCTGTATTCGTTCGGCCAAACCGATTACCTTAACAAATTTGGAAATAATCCGATATATGAAAACAGAAAAGTATTCATTAACAATGCCATAATTGAGTGATTTACGTAGATAATCTTCATCATCTTTGCATTCCACGACTAACGAATTTCACGCACATCGCTGTCTCTCAAGCACTAATCCGGATGTTCGTGACTAAACATTGAAATGTCACTCGAAATTCATCCCCAGTCGGTCATTCAAATAGCAGCATTCAGAAATGATTTGTATTTAATGACGTTGACTGAAGTGCGGTTATTCAGTTGGCTGAAACTCGACCTCATCGTTACATACTTTGTTTTGAATCCTCAAGTTTCATTTCATAAAAATGGATCTTTCAATTTACTCAAAATAACCTATGACCAACCAAATGGATCAAGTAAAAAAAGATCGTTTTCCGTTCTTCAGATCTTTTAGTTTTGAAAGGAATATAATGGAGATGTTCTTTATCTAGTCATCTGCTTGGAAACACACACACACANAAGAAACACGCGCTTAGGTTCCGTTCACATTTCGCTCGTCATATGGTGACAAGCAAAATGTTTTTAGCAAACCAAATATTGGTGCTTGTACATTTTCGTATTTGGATGCGATTTCGTTATCGAAGTTCGGTTTTTTTGGTTCATTTGATTTCGAATGATATTGCGATATCTTGAAGTGGTATCATTAATGAGAAAAGAGCTTTTCATCGGCGACTACCTTTATGAGGAAAAAACTTTGTTTTTGTTTTGCGAATATATTTTTGTGAATGAACAAATTTTCATCGAATATTCTGTAAACTTTGTTTTGATACGTTCACTTGTGCCAAATTTCCCTCACTTCAGTGGAACAGTCTTCAACACCGGAGGACTTTTATACCATTTATGATGAGTGTTGTGAGCAAGGGACTTGGAGCTCTCGATCCTCGTCGACCTGTTGATGAGACGTAATTGTTGTCAACTGTTCAAGCAAATTTCCCATTCCAATATCTCACCCTCTATGCGATAATTTTGTTTCTGTTAATCGATGTTCGTTTCCATCGCGATAAAAAAAAAACTTTTCTTGTGCAAGAATTTGCATCTGTAATCGTTTTCAGCACTGATTACCAATTAGAGGAAAAAATTTCGGACATTTCAATATCTTAGTGCAAGACTTCAGAAGTGCTATGCAGCTTCCAACGGAAACATCGAGTAGAAACGTTGGCGACAGTGTCACCATCTACGGCCCTCTTGTTTATGTGCTCAAATTTTGCACACTTCGATTAGGTGAACGTATCGTTGATCACACAGCGAATGCGAGAGTCAGTAAAGGTGATAAGCTAAAGGATTGGATTCGACTTACGTTCGTATCAATAATCGGTCTGTTGATTCTGTATAGATCCGTGATATTAGTAATAAATCAACGAGCGGCTATGGTGAGTGAAGATTATGTGAAGTTTGTTTTATGAACGTTAACCTGTTCTCGATTGCTTCCTTATAAACTTTTCCATTTGAATTCGCATCAAAAACCATCAACTCGCGAAAACAGCTTAATACCTACGTATTGTTAAAGAGTGCGATCGTTAAGTAAATATTAGGCCTTCTCAGATGTTCAAGGTTTGAGTTCGATTCGGAAGTTCGTTTATATCACTTAAATTTTTATCCGTTCATCCTTCCAATAGAAGTAATCTTCCATTGCTGCTATCTGGAGCCATACGCTTCAAGTGGCTCTTTGATGTAGCATTGCAAAGGATCCATTGACTTGGTCAGCAAGGCCGAATACATCCAGTGTCACACTCTCGAAAACGATTTTAAAAA